GGCTTTCTAGGACCTTGGTGGAGACAAAAATGCCCTCCCCCACACACACAAGGCCCTCCGGAGGCAAAAAACGGCCTGTTTCCCTATTTCCAGTGAGCCCAGAAGGCTCGAAAATCAGCTGGCTGGTGTGCATATGCGTGCCGGAGCTGAGCTCACGTGCCCACCAATATGGCTACGCGTGCCATAGGTTTGCCATCACGGGACTAGGGCTTAACCATTGGGTGGTTCAGTGGATAGGAAGTTGGCTCAGGAATAGATCCGTGTCTGATTGATAATGGACCAATATCTGAACACAGACAAGTCACTGGTAGTGTACCATAAGGTTCAGCAATAGGTCCTGTTCTGTTTGTTGTGTTGGTTGGTGATATAATAACAGAAGGATTGCTAGGTAAGGTTTGTCTTTTTGCCAATGATGCAAAAGTGTGTAATAGAGTTGATGTTCAGAGGGTATTTATAACATAGAAAACCATTTGGCATTGCTGGACAATTGGTCAAAAATGTGGAGAATGCGATTTAATGTTTCTAAATGTATGGTATCTACATTTAGTCCTTTTCTGCCATCAGTTTTCTGTTTGTAATATTAATTTGTTTGCTTCTAAAGGTCACACTTCCTTAATGAGTTTAACAAAAAAAAGAGAAAGGGAGAAAGAAAGAAAAGAATGATTGTTGATATTATGTGACTAGTAGGATGAGATCAGTTCATGTGCAAATTTGCAAACATTAGGCTTTGCTCAAGTTAGTATTTCCAACTGTTAAGAAAAGACGACCAATAGAATTATTTATTTTCCTGAAAGCAATCCCTACTAAAACATAAATATAAGTTTACCATCAAAATTATTCTGGAAGTTTTCCAACAAGATGAAATTTTAAGAGTGACAACATTCCATCCTTACAGGTCAGTTAAGAAGCAAAATTAAACTGAGCAGAACTCAGTGAATAGAATTTGCAAGTGCTATTAATATCTGAACCCAAAGGACAGTATTTTCACATTCCTGTGAGGTTGCAGTGTTCAAAACAGTAGTATTTTTCTTCATCAACATTAGACTGTGATTCTCTTTCCTTCATCATTTTAGTTGCTGTCTTTGACTCTGGATGGTTTAACTGGGGTGTCTCAAGACCATATGAGAGCTTACTACCAGACTGGTTCCAATCATATGATGTTAAACGTTAACCTATGGTCCACTTTGGTCCTGGGTGCTGGTAAGGATATTATTTTGATTCAGCAGAAGAACAATATCGCTGATTTGAATTCAGTAATTCTGCAGAAAAAAATGGGAAGCTATACATATGTTACTCTCTTTCTGTGTGTCTGTGTGTGTGTGTGTGCACGCATAAGCAATCCAATCAAGTACAATACTTTAGAGACTTGTGGGAATCCTTGTGTTGTAAAGCTTGGAGCATCAGTTGCCTAATTGGTAGACAGTATTTTTTTTTTAATTTGATTTATATGCCACCCTTCTCCGGAGACTCAGGGCGGCTTACAATGCGTTAAGCAATAGCCTTCATACTTTTGTATATTTATACAAAGTCAGCTTATTGCCCCCACAAACTGGGTCTTCAATTTACCTACCTTAGAAAGGATGGAAGGCTGAGTCGACCTTGAGCCTGGTGAGATTCGAACTTACAGTAATTGCAGACAGCTGGTGTTAATCACAATGCTATCAGTCTGCTGAGCCACCAGGCCCTTCCATCTTCATATATGTTTTATGGTACTGTATGTTCACCTAATTAAAGTTGTTTCTACACATAGATTGCTGTTAATTGGATTAGGGTAAATATTGCCTTGAATAATACTCAATTATTCAGGAAGCTTGTTTAAAATAACCTCATAGTGATGGCTACCCTAGTAGAACTTGCATGTGCCCTTATTTTGCTTTAATATCACAATTCATACCTCACCCAATCTTATCTTGTTTCAGAAATGTGATAGCTCTTCTCCAGAAGGGCAAGCAGTGGTGCTTTGTTGCTCCTGTAGCAGCCACCCGGCAACCCCCTCTCTCCCAAAAGCTGTTCCTGGCCAGTTTGGGGTATGTGGGAATCCCAAAGCAGGTTGGCAGTAACGCTTTGTTCCTCCATTTGGTGTCTCCCTTGTTCCAGGAATATAGACATAGTTCTTATTTCCTTTGACTGCAAAGAGTTAAGCCATACCCTTTATTTTTGTGTGTGATGGTTAGATCCTCTCCAGAGAGACTACCTTAGGAGAAAAGATTGGATAATTAATGAAAAGGAGCAGCCCTTGCAGCCAAAGTAATTTGGAGAGCAATTGTTCCCCTCTTTTCAATCAACTGGCATTTACAGAATAGTGTGGAGTGCAATTCAGCAGAAGCTGTAAAAGGGGTTTGTGTGCTGATCGGCTGGTCCTCTTTAAGTTAAAGTGTCCAGGAAGCAAGGTACCAGTCAGCTTCTGAGTTGACTCAAAGAACATACAGAAATAATGCCCCAGTGCCTTCTGACCTGGGTGGGGATCTGCGAGAGGTGTGCACAGCTGAACGTAAGGTCTAATCTGTCCAGTTCTGTAAAAGCAAACTTTTCTAGCATCAGATTATCAAGCTCTTCCATTTTCTGAGAAAAACCTTGATAAAATCCTCCCTCTCTTACTACCTTCAAAATTTGAAGGTAGCTGCTCCCATCATCCCTGGTCATTAGCATATTGGCTGGCTATAAATGATTAGGAGCATCTGGTCACCCTATCCAGAAGACTTCAGATTCCCCATTTCTCCAGGAAATCTGTTTTAGAGGAAAAGGGCCTTTCTCTTTCTTTTACTGCACGAGCTGTGTTGGTCACCAGTTGGCTTCTAGGAATTTCCAAGATGCTGATTGCATATTTAAGGCCCTGTAGGGTTTTCAACAAGGTCATCTGTGCATACTGATCTGCCTAACCAATCGGATCAAATAGGGTCAACTCCCTCCAGGTCCCATCTATTTGAGAATGGCTTTTGACAGCACCTAGGAAATGGGCCTTTTCTGTCACTTCCCCTGAGAAAATCAGGTCTACCAGTTCCATCCTGGGTTTCAGGAGAGCAGTTAAGAGTTGACTTTCCTATCTAGCCCAGGAGGAAGCCATGTTGGGAATGCTGGAATGTATTAGTGAATCTTGCAATGTTGCATTACCCTGAATTTCACTGCTTGTGTAGAACATATCCAGTTAAAAAGAATATGGTTTGGGAGCCAAATAGGACTGGTCACCAGATGGTCAAGGCACAGGGAGAGGTTTTATTATTCTGTTCTATTTTCTCATATTTTTCCCCCTAGGTATTTTCTTTACAGGTGAGCTTTGGGAATTCTTGAGTTTCACTGAGCGTTATCCTACCATCATCTATAATATCCTTCTCTTTGGCCTAACCAGTGCTTTAGGTCAGGTAAGCAACTGGTTTTTTCTGCTAAGCCAGTGTGGTGCTTTAACTGTCCACATTATGCTGAACCATGGATGTAAATGTGGTATGTTCTATGTAGTAATATGTTACAAGGAAGATGTTACCAGCTATTTCTCAAGTACAGGTAATCCTCAAGTTATGACCACAATTAAGCCCCAAATTTCTTGTTAAGTGAATTTTGCCCCATTTTACGACCTTTCTTGCCATGGTTATTCAGTGAATCTGGCTTCCCCATTGACTTTGCTTGTCAGAAGATCGTCAAAGGTGATCACATGACCCCAGGACACTGCAAACCATCATAAATATGACTCAGTTGCCAAACATTTCAATTTTGTTCATGTGACCATGGAAATGCTGCACCAGTTGTAAAGTGGGAAAAACAGCCATAAACCATTTTTTTCAGTGCTGTTGTGACACTGAACAGTCACTAAACAAATTGTTGTTAGTCGAGGACTACCTGTATCTTGACGTGCCTCCCCCTTCCCCAAATGGATTATATCAGGATAGAATACTTCATTCATCCCTTTCCAAAAGTATCTCTGTGCTCCTCATAAGATTTTCTTGTGTGAAATATATTTTGGTGTATTCAGACTGGTCACATTAAATCAGGGATATTTGTTTAACAAAACACTGTAACTAAATTATATGGTGCATATGAAAGTTGTCCAACTTTAAAGTGGATATTTTTTTTTTGCTTGCTATCAGAATGCAGGATAATTATGTACACCAAAACAATCCAGAATCATCTGCTTTAACCCAAGGTTTATTGTCGGCTTACAAATTTTAGATGGCTTTGAAGACTTTAATTCCTACTTTCGTTATGTCCCCAAATTTTCCTTTTCATGTTTGGCTAATTTTATTTTACACAAAATTAAAAGCATTCTAATTCCATAATCATTTAAAATAATATATGAAATAAAAACATGATTAAAGCAAGCCTTCCAGAAATACCAGAGGCTATTTATTATTTGAAACAATTTTTAAAGTTCCAATCACATAATAAATTTCCTACTGTGGTGCTGTTACCATTATAAATTTCACCTCAGTCTCTTTGCTTGAAATGGATTTTCTTTGTTTTTTATCTTCTTTCTTCTATGCTGTTTCCAAGGTTGCACGTTTTTGTTGCATTACCAGTTCAGAAGATTTAAAGTACTGCTTTCCTTCTGTCTTTTGCCTTTAGCGTTAAAAAAAGGAAGTGGCCCTGCTTTTGTTTTCCTTTATATTTGTTGAGGACAATACAAAGGACACTGCTTTTGAAAAGGTTTATTAGACCTTCTGCCTCATTGCTGTGATTTAAGGGACAAACGGGGGATTACTTTATATTCCAAGATTGTCTGTAATTTCTCTTTCAAACATCCCATAATTGTAAGTGGTCTTGTGCAAATTCAATAACAAAAAAAAAGATGTCCTATAGTAAAAAGTTGGAGGAAAGATGTCTCTACAGAGAGACTACAAGATCAAAGTGATGCAAGACATATTTCTGAACAAGCCTGCATATTTCCCTCCCCCCACTTTTTTTTTTTTTTAAATTGCAGACTTTCATTTTCATGACTGTGGTCTATTTTGGGCCTCTGACCTGCTCTATTGTCACCACGACTCGCAAGTTCTTCACCATTTTGGCTTCAGTCATTCTATTTGCCAATCCTATCAGTAATTTACAGTGGATGGGCACCATTCTGGTATTCCTTGGTAAGAGTCCAGCTTCTTTTGTCTTTATTATTTGGGAAATGTCAACCTTAGTTCCAGTGTATGATTTCCTGCAGAATAGAAACCTGGTTAGTTATTTCACTGGGCTTTTCACGTCTCTAAGGGTAGGGGTTTTATTAGTTTTACTTAACTTAAATCTATTTATAGGGTACTTAGCAGCCTACAATGATGTACACTTTTTCCTATATGCCATTCTTCCCTCAAAATGTACTTCACCAAATCTAGTCTCCACTGCTTCAACTATAGTGAAGATTAGGCAAAACCCATTTAATATGCTAGAAAAGTTTGGTGATAAAAAAAAAGCAGAAAGAATTTGCTGATGCTCAAATGCCTGAAGAGTTGAAAACAGTATTTCTATGTGAGACATCATGGCCAAAGAGAAGACTTTTTCTTGCTTAATCATGGGTGTTAGGAGCACCTGAGAATGGGCTGATGCAACTGTGGACTTCAGTTCCCAGAATTCTAAGTAATGATTATTTTGACTGAATAATTCTGGGGATTGAAATCTAAACATCTGGAGAGTGCCTAGGTTGGGAAAATCTGAACTAACACTTCAGGTAAAGTTGCTGATAGTCAAAGGATTGCAATTTTTAAAGTAAATCATGTTTTCCCAACTGGTTTTAACCTATTCTGTTTTGCTTCTTCTGCACTTTCAATTTGTTTCAAGATATTTTACATGGTGTGGTTGTGTTTTGCTTGTTATCACATCATCTCCTTTTTACCCTAACAATACTTTTAGTGGTTGTGCCAGGGTTCAGCAATTATTTTGTCTTAGCTCAGCAGATTTAAAATCTGCTTCATACTGTACTCCCACAGATAATAATTACTTGTACAGAGAACTATTAAATGAGATGCTTTTAAAACTACATCATCATTTCTGGGACATTCTTGTAAGATGAAAATCTGCTTCTAAGCTGCTAGGGTAGCTTGGTGTGTTCCAAAATTATCCCAAGTTAGAAGCCTTGTTCACTCACCCTCTTTTACTCAAAGTCATCCCCAACCCAACACTTTGCCCTGTAGCATCATTTCCAACCACAGTTAATTTCCTATTTGTTTTTCTGCAGGACTTGGCCTAGATGCCAAATTTGGGAAAACATCGAAGAAAACTTCACACTAAGAAGATTTTTGTGTTTCTCTTGAAAACTTTAAGCATAAGGAACTATTAACTTATTGTCTTATTTCCCACTACTGGGAATTTGGCTCAGGATGAATGCTTGGAGAAAGGGGACAGCATAGGAATGGGGTTGTTTTTATTCAAAATGTGTTTAATTTTTTTTAATGGTAGCTTTATTTTACTAAAAATCAAAGAAGTAGCTTTTCCATTTCTACTGAGGAATCAAAACTGTAGTTAATGGATGGCAAATAAGAAATTCTGGTGACATAGGACAAATGCTTTATGTGAAATAAAAGGAGGGACGAGAGAAAAACCTATGTTTATGTTTTAAAATTTACTTTCCATCTCTTGTGCCTGGGTGGAAGGGGAAGTGTTACAGTATTAATTTTTTTTTATTTATACAATAGTTGTATACTGCCTATCCTAGAGACTCAGAGCAGTTTAACAGTACAGTAACCATAAATATCCATCATAGGATAAAGCATTCATCACAGACCAATCAATCTTCTTTTTCTGTATCTAGATCAAAGAAGCCACTTTCTTAGCTTTGTCATTGGCCAAAAATAAGTCATTATTTTCTGAGTGCCAGCAATTTGGCGGTTCGAATCTCACCAGCTCAAGGTTGACTCAGCCTTCCATCCTTTTGAGGTCGGTAAAATGAGGACCCAGATTGTTAGGGGTAATACAGTAACTCTGTAAACCACTTAAAGAGGGCTGTAAAGCATTGTGAAGCTTTATTTAAGTCTATATTGCTATTATCAGTACGTGTTTCTGGTAGTAGCTGACATACCAGCAGATGGGCTGATCTCTTTGTCTCTCCATTGACACAGCATGTTGTTATCCATTAAGAGCCTCCACTTGAGTATATTGGCCCAATCAAACCAATAAAAACCCTACATACATACTATAAAACAAAACTTAATCAGATAAATTAAAATTAAGCACTGTGAGTCTTCTAACAAGAGGTGTTCATAAACTTGGTAGCATAGCTTATAGATAGAGCACTGAAACTACTTCATGGAGAAGCCCTGTTCTTCCAGAAGACAGTGGAGGTAGCTATCCAATATGACATTCTCACACAATGTTACCTTGGTAATTTAAAAACTGCTTTATAGAACAATCAATCCATCATACCTTTGTAAATCATAATAGATTAATTCCTATATCACACTAAGAGAAAAGCAAACAATGTTATGCTTTAGCACGGGTGTCAAACTCAATTTCATTGAGGGCTGTATCAGGCCTATGGTTGACCTTGGGGGATGGGGTGGCTGTGGCCGATTAGGTGGACGTGGCCAGCTTGATGCCACTCCAACTGCTGGCATGCTTCCTTTTCACATTGGGTAGACAGGGATGACGCCACGCTGGCCCGATCTTTCCTCTTCGCACTGGGTAAACCGGGCCAAAGCTACGCTGGCCTGATCTCTCCTCTTCGCACTGGGTAGACCAGGATGGCCCCGTGGGCTGGATCCGACCACATCGTGGGCCACATCTGGCCCACAGGCCTTGAGTTTGACACCCCTGCTTTAGCATATATTTGGGTAGAGTTTTCTTCTTAGATGAACATGCTCCGCTTCAGCCTGGCTTATTTAAATCTGAAGGGGATAGAGGTACTGCAGAACCATAAAGTTCTGCTTTGTTTCAACATTTTAGTCCAGGACTGGAATACAGAATTGGGTCAGGGAAAACAGGAAAAAGTCAAGAACTAGGAGAGAGTGGAAAGGGTAGTCATGGGGAAATTGTGAGGGGCAGGCTGGCAGAATATGCCTGGTCAGGGAATGCCAATTTCATATTCTATGAGAGGATATTATTGTGCTAAAGTGGAAGTTTCTGATAATAGGACTGGGGGCATATAACCAGAATCAGAGAGAACTTGGTAGAATTTAAGAGCCACAAGCAATTTTCACCTTGCATATCTCCCTTTATTTGCTTCCAGATTTGTGTTGCAAATAAAAATGATGTGATATTTTTGTAAACAAAGGGTGAAATCATCATAAGTTAGGTATAATTTTCCAATACTTAATACTGAACTGGCATGACACAAAAAATAAACAGCCACTTTTGGGAGCTGTGATTTTCTGCATCTTATCACAGTTTTTCTCATGATTCTGGTTTCTGTACTCAGGAACTGGAACAGAGTGCCAAGAGGAGTCATAGATTTTTCTTTTGACAAAGTAATATATTGATTCTTATGATCACGTATGCAGAATTGGCTGGGCACCGGGAAGGAATTAGTGGCTCGTTCCAAAAATGTTCATTTAGTGCTTGGATTGTTTGGCATAAAAATAGGTAGTAATTGGCCTATCCTTCTTTAAAAAGATGAGTTGATAAGAGAATTTGGAACTTGCTGATGAAGCTTATAATGTAAAAAAAAATTTTTTTTTCTAAAGGTCATTAATCATGAAACCACAGGGAATGTTTGCTTTCTAATATTGGTAATAGCAACTGTGAAAGTTTTCTTTCCGTATCTGAAAGAAAGGCAAGTTTCAGAAGCATAGAGAGGTCACATCTTCCTTCAGTGAAGCTTGGTGCCTCATGACCCACATAGACAACTTCATTGCTTTATTGAAATATTTTGCCATTTTTCTAATTTAAAACCAAACCAACCCTCTTCCCAATCTGATTTACAACCTGGGGGATAAAAAAGGGTTCTTATCCAAATACTGGCCTGTGAGGTCAATTTTTTAGATCAGCCAAGGCTGCCTATCTGCTGCCACCTGCAGTGTAGGCACTATTATTCAGGATAGTGTACTTGAAGGAGGGCAAAAGTCATAAGGATATTTTGCCTAACATTCATCCCTTTAACAGTATAAATTAATGTGGGAAAGTCTAAAGATGGTTGCTTGAAATCAATGATATTGTTCTATATCGGGTGACCCTTTTCACCACCCTTTTCATCTTGCCTTATAATAGTGAAGGTACTAGAGGAATAGTTGGACTGTATTGCTACAGAAACTCATTTCTTTTCCTTCCCAGGGATGCTTCCCTGAACTTCTAAGACCTGCATTATAAAATGTTTAAAAAGCCCCCTGTTTTAATTAAGCAGTAGCCCCCGAGAGCTGCGCCAGGCATACTCCTTTGAGTTTCCTAGCATGGGAAGAGGGCGGGCAGTTAACATAAGGCTGCCTTGGAAGCTCATAGACTGAGGTCTCTATGGAGTAAACTTTACACATGAAAGCGCGTCTCCACCAGCTGTCGCAACCAGGCTCCATCTGCTCTGTGCTTTTGGCCTCTCGCCCTTCCAGATGGGACCTTGATCTCCTTTCCTTGGTGGTGCTGGCAAATGTGCTCTTTCCTCTCTGGTCCCCATCTTTTCCAATTTCTCTTCATCCTTCAACTGATGGTTACATTGATCTTTTTGGATGTGCTTGTTCTCTGCCCCCTCTGCTTTCCAAAATTAGACCTTTTGCAATATTGGAACATTGGACCGGGAGGCATTATTGTAATCCTGTTCCTTATTTTCCTAAAAGTCAACCAGAGGGAAAAAGGCAATTTCTTTCTTTAGTGAATTCTACAAACGCTGGCCTCCTTTGAGTGGATGTAAAAGCAACCCCCTTTTTGTATAAAATTGTAAAAACAATTGAGGTGGGGGGAAGATAGCTCTTGTTGTGCCCAGCCTGTATGGGTTGTTGTTTTTTTTAACTTGTATGCTGGCCAAATTCCAATAACTCTGGGATACAAAAGACATTTGTTATTCATGTTACTTTTTAAAAATTTGTAACAGAAGTAATCAAACACATATAAAAAGCATCTGTTGGGAAAGAACATAATTATGCCAGGGAGCTTTTATTTCTAACAAATCCAATAATACAGCCTGCTGTTTGGCCCCACAACAACCCTGCGAAGACGATTCAGTTGAGAAGAGGGCAGGGCCCACTACAGGTAGTCCTCAACTCACGACTACAATTGAGTCCAAAATTTCTGTTGCTAAGCAATACATTTGTTAAGTGAACTTTGCCCCATTTTATGATCTTTCTTGCAACAGTTGTTAAGTAAATCACTGCAGTTGCTAAGTAACACCGATATTAAATGAATCTGGCTTCCCCATTGACTTTGCTTGTCAGAAGTTCGCAAAAGGTGATCACATGACCCCGGCCTGCTGCAAACTATCATAAATATGAGTCAGTTGCCAAGCATCTGGCTTTTTGATCACAGGGCCGTGGGGATGCTGCAAGGATCATAAGTATGATAAACACAAGCCATCTTTTTCAGAGCTGTTGTAATTTGCTTAGTAAATCATCACTAAATGAACGGTTTTAAATCGAGGATTATCTCCTCCACCAGAGAAAGGCTTGAGGGTCTGAGTGAACATGCAGCTGGGCTGTCCTCATTGTAAGGCAACTGAATAGTTGCATGCAAAACAAAGCCACCTAAAAGAATATTTATGAATTGATTACCAACTAATCAAATTCCTGAAGCTGTAATTGTAGCTTTATATGGCACTTAGGAAAGCAAAGAAAAATAATACAGTCTACCAAAAGTCAGGCCCCGATATAGATAATGCCTTAAATACATTTTAAGGGTTATTTCTTCTAAACACTTTCCTATTCATGTGACACACAACCTTTGAACATTCCTAATTCCGGTAACATTTTCTCTAGAAAAATAATTAACACAAGTAGTTCTCAACTTATGGCCACAATTGGGACCAGAATTTCCATTACTAAGCAAGGTGATTGTTAAGTGAGTCATATCTGATTTTATGACCATTTTTTTTTTTTTTGCTAAAGCCGTTAAGTAGATCAGTGCATTTGTAAGTGAATCTCGTGGTTGTTAAGCAAATCCAATTTCCCCATTGACTTCGCTTGTTGGAAGCTGATAACAAAAATTGCAGATGGTGATTGCATAACTCCAGGTACTTAGAATTAGAATAGAACAGAACAGAACAGAATTTTTTATTGGCCAAGTGTGATTGGACACACAAGGAATTTGTCTTGGTGCATACACTCTCGGTGTAGATAAAAGAAAAGATACGTTCATCAAGAATTATAAGGTACAACACTTAATGATAGTCATAGGAAAACAGTCAATATAAATCTTAAGCATACCAGCAACAAGGTTACAGTCATACAGTCATAAGTGGGAGGAGATGGGTGATAGAAACAATGAGATGACTAATAGAAAAGACTTCAGTGCAACTGTCGTAAATATGTGCCAGTTGCCCAGTACCCAAATTGGGGATGCTGCAACAATTGTTAAGTGCAGGGGACTGGTTGTAAATCACTTTTAGTGACATTGTAACTTTGAACGGTCGCTAAGCAAACAGATGTAAATCAGAGTCTACCTGTAAAACATTGTAATTGGCCTGTAGGGCCTGGCCTTTGGTATACCCTATATATTTCTTGTCCTCAAGCTCCCTTGTAGTTGCTTTCCCAAACTTTTCTTAATTAGAATTACTTTTCTTTGTGTTGATTTTCAGATGTCCAAACATTTTTGCTGGAAAATTATGCCATTGATCCTCACACTAAGAACTGAATCCAATCTACTAGCTGACTCGGCACAACATGGTTATAGGCTAGACTACATGGTCGTACCTGTTGCTGGTCTTTTACTGCATACTGAACTATGTGTTAGCCACACTGTTTTATTTTGCATGACATGTTGGACTAAAATGCAATTGGCTAGTTTGTGGTTCAGTGTATCATGCAAAAAGTGTCTTCCTTTTCTTAGCAAGGCTACATTATACTGGGTATACTTGCAAAAAGAAAAAAACAATACATTTACATTTTAATTCAAAATTGTCTACCTGAAGTGATTTTGAAAACCTTTCTCTTATTTTGTGATAAATGTCCTAAGTGTCCTTTTTAAATTTAGAATATTAGAAATAAAAACTTACTGGTAAATTTGATCTAATTATTTATTTCTCATCTCTGATTTCAGCCATAAGAGCAGCGATGGATGTTCACTGGCTTCCCAAGAAGGGGCAGAGGGATTCAAAAGAGTAGGATTGGGTAATTTATGTAGGTATTATTGAAGCACTTGGGTAATAGCAAAAACCCAAGGAAAATCAGACCAAACCCAAATATATATGGTGATACTTAAATGTTTCTGAATCCCTTTGAATGTCCAATATTTCTGCATAAATCTAGTCAAGAATGTGATTTATTCTCTTCACAAGTCTTAAAACTAAATAGAGATTTTTTAAAAAACTGAATAAAAAACTTTATATTCATTCATTTATTGAAGAAAATGATTCCAAACTACATATTTTTTACTGAAAAAAGTATGCAAATTCTCCAAGATTATCGGTGCATTTGAAGGGGAAATTAAGAATCGGGTTTCAATCAATCCAATCCAATCAATCAGGTATGAGTATGAGAGGTCCTGCTTTATTTAAAAAACAGTATTTGGGATACACAATCAAAGGCTGATCTTCATACTTTAGGTATGTGGAAGTATGTTAATCTGACTCAAAAACAGAAGATTTCTGGAGACCTTCAATCCCCCCCACCTCCCAAAAAAATCAGCTGTAGATGCTTAATAGGCTGGAAAAAGTTACAAACTTATTTCCAAAGAGTTTGGATTTCATCAATCAAATCTCAAGCCTATCTTTACCCTCCCTGAGGGTGTGGTTGTACCAATCAAAGCCATACAAGTGTGAGGCATGTAATACTCTAAGGACAAAAATCCAAAGCAGACAAGTCATATGACCAAAGAATGGTAATAGCAGAAGAAAGTTAATGTTTTGGAATGGGCAAATCAAAGTCCTGGTCTTAATCTTATAGAAATGGTGTAAAAAGACTTAAAGCAAGCAGTTCATGTGAGAAACTGATAATGATTTTGAAGGCTCATATACTTTTGCCATGTACAAATATGTAGCTTTGGATAATTTCCCTCAATAAATGAACAAGTATGTTTTTGATTCACTTGTTTAATGAGGTTCACTTTATTCAGTTTTAGAGTTTGTGTGGAGAACATCTTTTAATGTTATATTTTTGCAGAAACATTGAAAATTCAAAAGGGTTCACAAATTTTAAGCATCATGTAAGCTAGTTATTACGAATTTTCTCCATTGCTTTTACATGACTCTGGAATAGCCAGAAAATTATAGCAGTTCCAGCAAAGCCATCAGACAACTATTAGGCACACTCTCATTTAGAAGAATGAGCTGGAGGTCATCCCATGAAGAAGGGTTGGCTTTCCACATTGTGAAGTAAGTGATAAGTGGTTTTAGCCCTGAGGTGATCCGACTGGCTTTGCCTCAAAGAAACAAATTTTGTGTCATTTAGTCAGTTCAGGCCAGTGTTATGGAAGAAGGCTTCTCTCAAGCTCTTCTCCTACCGCTGGACAAAGCCTTTACTAACTTGGAGGATTCAGGATTGCTCATAGCGTGCCAAGCAGTCTCTGAGGCCGGACAACTGTGGCATAGAGAGCCCGCAATTTGTTTCATGCTGCTTGCCTTCTTCCAACTGTTCGTACAAAAGAGATTAAGAAAGCCCAATAGTATGGGCTGAAGAATACCAGCCTAAAGCACCTAATAGTCATCATCATCATCATCGACAACATGATCATCTCCTCCTCCTGCCTCAATCATTTTTAATCGATGCTGTAGCAATTTTTCAGGCTTCATGACTGAATGGACTGGGTGGAGGGGCTTTTTAACGGACAGTCCACCAGGTGAAATAATAACAATAATGATGTTTAAAGAAAAAAATGTAGATGATTTTTTTTAAAAAAAAGTGTTGTGAACAGTTGAAATACAATTAACACAAACAACTAGACAAGAACTAACATAACTGGAGGAGATGGAAGAAAATGGTTTTGTATAAAAACTTTTTTTTTAACAATAAATTGAACCTTGACTACACAGGATCATGCTGCCTGGCCTTTCCCTTGCATTGATCAAGAGCCAATTCAAAGGCAGTGTTGGCATATTTTGTTAAGTCTTTCGAATCTGGTATCCAGGTATCTTGCCAGGAATACATAATAATTTTTTTCTGCAGCTGTTCAGGCACAATATGTCCAGATCTCTTTATAAATACCAGGAATTGCATTGCCAAAAGCAAATCTGGTCTTCTGGTATAATCCTCTAGAAAGTGTCTTGTTCTGGGTCCCCCCTCATGAGGCACATGGGATACAGAGCAGATGGACTCCTTCTTGGTGATGTCTCCCACTTATGGAATCTTACCTATTTCCTAATTCAGGAGAAAGTTAAAAATGTATTATTCCAGAGAGTTTTTGGGTGGCCATTATGGGTCATTTGCTTTCAATGTAACAATTGTTTTAATCGGGTCCCCAAATGCTTCACCTCATTGACCTAGTAATAAACTTTCAGGTTGTTCATTGATTCCTCAAATATATATTATATGACAATAATTTAATAAATAGTAATAGCACTCAGACTTATATAACGCTTCACAGTGCCCTCTCTAAACAGTTGAGTCAGCATATTGCCCCCAATCTAGGTCCTGATTTTACCGACCTCAGAAGGATAGAAGGCTGAGTCAACCTTGAGCTGGTGAGGATTGAGCTGCCAAGCGCCAGGAGTAGCCCGCAGTACTGTATTCTAAATACCAGTTTAACTAATAGTAGTACAAATAATAATCTGAAGCACCACTTGAACACTTATCAGGACAGACAAAATTACCATCAGTCAATTGCAAAAAGAAGCTTTTTCCATTGTGGAACAATATCTTTAATATTACTAAACAATAGTACCTGCCAATCCCAAGTCCTCAGGAAGAGCTCCATAGGTATAGGCATAGATAAAAATGCCAAGTCCAGCCTAAACATCTGGCTGTGTGACAAACTATAATAACAAAAAGAACAATGGATAATTCCATTGACCCTTGGTGGTCAATATTGGCAAACCCTGCTTTAAATATTGCATTTTGGAATTCTTGCAAATTAAGATTCTACTACTGCTGCTGCTAAATAAATAAATAACTTCCACATGTGGGCATTAATATCTTTAAACTAACCACCTTGAAAAATTCTCAAATCTCAGTAATAAATCCAATAAATAAGGAATTACCAATGGACATTGCCAAGATATACATTTTTTATTGCATCTCCATCCTAGGAAGCATGACAGCATAATCCCCTGCAAAGAGAAGAGCTGTTAAATCTGGAACAGCCCTTAGCCAGTGCTGTAGGAGAAGATTCCTTTCACTCTTCCCAGTACTTACCTAAGAAAATCCCATGTTGAACAGCTTCAGCAAGTGCTGCTAGACTCTCAGTGGCTCAGTTGGTAAGCAGCTGGGAAAGACATGCTATGTGAAAGGACCTTTCATGTACTATTAACCCCCCAGTCAATGATTTCCCAGAGGTTGGAAGAAAAAGAACATGGACTTCCATTAACTTGGGAGATACATCAGCCAGCATTTGACTGTGACCTCTTCAGGAGACAGCTGGGAAGAGCTTCCGTTCACCCAAAAGAACATGATGTGTTCACTACAAGATGACAAACTAATGTTGCAACTGTGGTGAGAAATTAATGTTGCAACTGTGGGGTAGTTTCAAACTATAAAGTTCTCTATCCAACTAGCTATAGCCTAGTGTCCTGCTTCTTGTTTCAAACTCTGACGCACACACAATTGCTATGGTAATCCCCAAGGTGCTTTTTCAAGAGGCAACTGGACTTTCTGGTTTTTCTTTGAAGACGTTTCACTCTTGGATGAGAAGCGAAACGTCTTCAAAGAAAAACTAGAAAGTCCAGTTGCCCAAAAAGGACCTTTGGGACTACCATGACCTGGATGACTGAAAATCTCCATAGACAATTGCTATGGTAGTTTGTTTGTTTATAACATTTATAAACCACCCATCTTACCTCAAAATAACTCTGGGTGGCTTACAATCTTTAAAAAAGAACTATATAAACTAAAAACATGAATAATGGCAATAGCACTTAGACTTACCTATATACCACTTCACAGTGCTTTGCAGCCCTTTCTAAGAGGTTTACAGAGTCAGCATATTGCCTCCAACACTCTGGGTCCTCATTTTACCCAAACTTGGAAGAATGGAAGGCTGAGTCAACCTTGAGCCTGGTGAGAATTGAATTGCTGAACTGCTGGCAGTCAGCAGTCAGTAGAAGTAGCCTGCAGTACTCTATTCTAACCACTGTGCCACCACGACTTTATAAGTTAATATAAAGTCCAATTAAAAGTTCACAGCTTACTCAAGGACAAAGAGAGAACAATGGTCAGAATGTGCAAACCTAAACAGTATTTTGACAGACACTTGCATAAATAACTGAACTGCATAGAATAGCTCAAAATCAGTCCAAAATTCCAAGATCAGATTAGGATTATCACCCATTCCAAACAGAATTTCACAGGTGGACCCACACACATATGCAAGAACTGAAGATCAACAATTGTTGCCATCAAAGGAATGTTGATCAGGGCTACCTCTTAAATCAGACTTCAATCAGCTGTTGCTAATCAAGAAATTTACTGTTTGACAAGGAACAAATATTCATAAAACATCTTCATAGAATATTCATAATATAATTCATAGGATATCTCTGTTTTCCTTGCTACTTAATGGATGTGGGAGCTGGTAGACTTTATATCATCCACATCTGACTGCTCTAACTGTCCAGGTAGTGTCTGTTTTTGGTCAGCTTCATGTGATTCTTGGTTTGGTAACCCTTGTGGCTCTCATTCCAGCAGCTTCTTCAGGTTCAGAGTCTGAGGACTGGCTCTAGTGCTATGACCCCTGGCCAAAAGGAGGCCTCTTTTTTATCTGCAGTTAGAGAAATAACAGCCTATGAGGATAGAGGTTTGGTAGGGGGCCCTCAATGATGTCATCCAGCCTGTGATAGTATGATGATACTGACGGTAAACTTCACCAGTCCTGATCTAGAAAACACTTTCTGCCATAATACTATTAAAATTACTTCATTGCACCACTGAGTGGCTTCCAGCCAAAAACTGGAGTGCCACAAACTTGGCTGCATTTCCAGAATGGACATATCCAACACTATCTGCATCTATTGAATACAGCTATACCACTAGTTGCTGCAATGTCTGGATCAATATATCCTTTTAGCTTCTGGTTACAACTGGTAGTCTTCAAAGCTCCCTCTTTCTTCAACTGCAGAAAGTTGGCATCAATTTGCCTTCCTTAATAGTCATATTTTAAGAAAGAAAAATAATCAGACAATTCTACCTCCGTTCACTTGTGTACCACTTTCATCAGCTTCTGATATCATCTCCCATTTTGATCCTGTAATCCACAATTGTTACACTGTGCCCCGGCCTCCAAAAGGTCTCTCCAATCAGAACATCTGTCTAGCTCAGTCACAATTGGGTGTGCCAGTGTTGAATAGCATAAAAAGAAATGTGAGGAATTATTTAGTGGGTTGTGCCCAATAACTTGCATTTTTCAATTAACACCTGGAAGAGAGGCTGCTTAGACAAGCTAGTTCCTCTTTACTCCTGCAAGCTGTGTGATAGCAAACTTCCAGTTTTAACCACAATCAGATAATTACTTCCCTCTTTTATCATAACAAGTGTCCAATGCCTGGTAGGCACTTAATCCTCATTAATATCTAACCTTCCCTTTCTGATACCCAAACCGAGGAACTTGGTGGTGGGAGAAGGAGAATTTGCAGGCTGCAGGGCTATAAAACTTGCCTGATCAAAGCAAAACCCCTTTGTTAGTCAAATTCTGGAGACCATCCTCACCATTTGGGCCCACCATAGCACATTGAGGAAGAGTTCCTGGGTGCTGTAAGTAATTAATGGAGACAATATAAATAATTATGCTGTTTGTTTCACTCTTGGCACCTTTTTTTGTTTGCTTTTTAGTAATTTTTATTAAAGATTATACAAACAAAAACTAATACCATCAACATAGTATATAAATATGTAAAAAGAAAAAATAGAAAAAGCGCAAAGGAAGAAAAAGGAAAATCCCCCTTCTTTCCCATCAAAATGTAAATAACATGAACAATTTATCACTATCTTTTAAAATATAACTAACCATTTCTTCATCTCATATCTCAATTTTCTGTAAGTCAATTTCTAAAGTTTCATATCTCCTTCCTCTTAATGAGCAAATGCCCATTAATGGTTATCTGAAATAACAAAACAGTTATAAACAATGTCTAATATAGGCAGTTTGAATCCTTTCTCTTACATTTATATTTCATCTTCTATTTAAAGAAACTGCTCCATCTCCTCTCTTGAAAGAAACAAAACTTTTGAAACAACATTATCTGTTCCCGATCAATAAAAATTCATTAAACATTACCAAAAATAGCAACCAGTTTATTTTAGTCTTAATCAAATAAACAGATTTTATATTCTTTTCTCTTTTTCCCAGCAATCTTTTCTTTCCAAATCAGTTCATATTCTCATTGTCTTTTCTTATGAAATCACAGACAACTTCCAAAAGTCCTTTTTGTAAATCCAATTGAAAGACATTATCAACATCACTCTGAGTTTAGTATTTAGTATTTGTGTATCATTTTTAATTGTTAAATCAATTGGTTTCATTTGTAAATGTAATAATTCATCTTCTCCCATCACCTTCTTATAGGGTGTCATTTTAAAATCTACATTCAAATCAATTTCAGTTTTATTCAGTGGAACTTGTTCCTCTTGGATCATCTAATTTTTCTATAAGAGCAGATAATTTTAAAAGAATTCCAAACCTAAATCACAAACTTCAATTAAGAGCTCTATTGATTGATTGATTGATTTCCTTCTGGACCCTTTAGTGATCAACTATCAAAGTCATCAGTTCCAGATGTAAACATAACAAGTTTCCCATGAGGATACTTCTAATTCAACTCCATCTGACCCCTAATCTATTTAAACTTTCTAAAATCAACACTGTAAACACCCTTTGTATGTATTATATATACACTATTAAATTAGAAGTGTAAGGTTTTGCATACACACATACAACACATAAACATATACATATTTGCAAAATTTTAAACTTCTAATTAAAAACTCTTTTCTTAAAAAATTGAAGAAAACTCACAGTGAATATGATCAAATTTGAAGGTCCTCTATCTTTAAAAAGGAGCAGAACAAAAAGTAAAATCCAAAGTGATTCAGAAGAGGTTGAAACTTGAGTCTGTGAAGGCTTCATTGATGGCTATGAGCTTCATGGAATCCCACAATTCCCAACTGTTTGCAAGGAACTGTAAAAAAACATACATTTCTGCCTCTATTCACACACAACCCCCAGCTGTCCAGATGTATATGGCTGATCACAAGAGCTCTCTTTTCTTCTAAGAGATTTTGGTGGTCCAAATCCAGGATCCAGCTGTTGCTTGCTGACCATAGGATGTCAGTTTGCCATTTCTTTATTGGAAGTCTCCGAAGTTCTGGAGCCACTTCTAATATCATCATTCTTTGGTATCCATGGTGCAAATTCTAAACAACTAGATAATTCAAGAATTGCAGGAAACTGGTTAAATTAGTTCCTGAATATCCTAAGATAGCTTTTTATTGGTGAATGTTTCATTCAGGTAGATAAATGCTTATTTTTTCTATATTCGATTTTCTATGCCACTCAAGGTTCTCTCTAGAAATATTGGAATGACAGTTCCCAGAATTCAAGCCAAGATAAGTCAATAGAAATTTGGCAGTTGTAGTTCTTGGAGTGCTTAAAGACCAGTCAATTGTATTACACCAACCAGTTCTGTTGTATAAAATGTGTTATTTTGAGGTGCTGTTCATACTTACTATGTTCAATATTTTATTTTATTATTGAAAATGCACTCCTGTTGAAATCCATTTGAAGCAACTTCTCAACTCTCAGAAATAAGAGTGGGTTATTCACACGACTATTGAACCGATCTGCAGATAATGACACTTTGGTATTATTGACCGTTAGAAAAAGGCCATTTGATAAATTGGCCATTTTAAAAAGCTGAAATTTTGTCTTCCACTTGATGCATATTTGTGGGGGGAAAGAATCGCAGTGTATTTCATCCCTTTTTCATTCTTTCCTGTCTCAACTGGTTCTCAATGCAGATACATTTTATTAATAAATAAAATTGGTCAGAATTTTTTAAAAAGAGGAAAATAAAACACAAAGCAGAGGAGGATTGGCATGGCTTAGAACAGGCCTGTCAAACTGGCTGCCTGTGGGCTGGATACATTATGTGCGGGCCACGCCTACCCTGGCTTTGCAAAGGCAAAAAAGTTGCAATACATTACGAACCTGGCCAGTGACACGATTAAGTTTGACACCCTTGGCTTAGAGTGAATATTAGGACTGCAACAGTCTTGAGCTGTTCTTGACAATGGGAAATGTACTTCTTGATTAGCATAATTGTAGAGGAAAATAAAGCTGCCTTGTGCTTCATACAATGGCTGGGTCTCAATTGCCATCAAGCTCCTTTGAGATAAGCATCATTTCTGGTGATTCTGGTGGACCTATCAGCTATAAATATATAAGGGCTATACAAATAATCAAATAAATGAAATAATTTGTGACTGCATTCTTCTAGTATGTTTGATTTCCCCATTTAGCTTCCCAACTCTGAGATTTTGTAAGTCTCTCTCCCAATATTAATCAGGTGTGGCTTAGCTTTTCAAAATCAGCCAAGATGTCAACTAACTGGATGCAAAACTATAGACTTTTCAGTTGCATCTGTTACTAAGCTTTTTAATATTTTTTATCAGCTTGGTGATTCATCTTTGCCTTTGATGATTCTGACCTTAAGAAATTTCATAGAATGGTGAACATCAACTGTACTGGTTATTCCTATGTTAAAAAAAATCTATACAAAAGGTAAGTTATAGATGCACAAAGCATACAGAACAATTTTATACCACTTGTTTTCATATACCATGTCTTGCTACAACACACGATGATGCCAGGATCAGCATAGTACTGCTCAAAATATGTCAGATGATGGCCTGTGCTATAAATTAATTTAATGAGCAATTAATTAACCACCTTAGTGCTTTGTACTGATATAGTCTTCCACAGTGTACTAACCTTTTATGCTATCCATACCTATTTAAATCCCAACCCTTTCTTTTAGATTCTCACTTTTTTGTCTTTATGTATCCTTTAGAGCATCTAGTTTTTCATAATATTATAGATTTTTGTTTTTATTCTTGATGCATCTTTTATGCTTTTTAATGTCCATATCCCACCTACCTTATGTTGGTCTATGACCATATTAAAGAGTTCATTTTATTTGATAAAATCATATAGCAGGAGGACAAGGCATTTGCTATATAATATACCAGATATATTCAGGCACAGTGAATTTATTACAGAGGATCCTCATGATCCGAACGGCCATTTAACAACTGTTTCAAGTTATTAATGTGCCCCAAAAGTATACTTACAACAAGGGTTCAAAATTGCGACCACAGGAGGCCCCTGCAGTCATGGGACCTGGATTCAATCACTCCTGAAGCAGCGGCCGTTTTTTGTCCCGTGACTGTTCTTTGTTGCTCACAGTTCCAACAGGCAATTTCTGAGGTCCATATGGTGCATGTTTTTCCCTGGTCATATGACAGTCAAGTTCCAGCAGGCCTCACTTTTTTTTCCTCCTCATTGCTCCCAGGTGGAGGATTAGAGGACTGAATCTCGCACTCCTGCCTTGTGGCTTCTTTTATTGTTGTTGCCTTGAGGACTGGAGTACTGTTAGTTGCCTTTGCAAGTACCATAGATTCTTCTTTTTCATTATAGTGCTGTTTGTTTGCCAGTTCTTTATAAACTGCCATGCTTGTTTGTAAGTACTTTACAAAGATAGGGTGTTTTTCATTACTGTGTTTGTTTGTGTTTGCTTTGGGATTGCTTGCAGCACTACTAGCCAGCATCTACAGAAAGCAGATTTAATACTGTAAAATAACTTTGCATTCTCCTGCACTGTTTGTTTGCATAAAAGTCTGTAGAGATTCTCAGTCACCCAGGTCATGGTCGTCTCAAAGGTGCTTTTTCAAAGGGCAACTGGACTTTCTTGTTTTTTCTGGACAAGAAAGTCCAGTTGCCTCCTGAAAAGGCACCTTTGGGACTGTTTGTTTGCATGTAGTTGCTTGCAGAACGATCCTTGCATTCTACTGTGCTGTGTTTATTTGTTTTTGCTTTGGGAATTAGTGTATTGCTTGTAGAACAGTTGATGGGCGGATGGCAGTGGTTCCCTCCAGAAGCTCCACCTGGAGATCTGCAAATTCACACATGCACACACACAAATTTAAGTCTGAGCATTGCTTGGAGGCGGAGAGCTGCCTGGCCTTGCCAGTACAGCTGATGTGTGGTTGGCAACATTCCTTCCACAGGCTCCAGCTGGAGACCCCTGCAAATTCTCTAGCTTCTCAGTTCATTTAGTGATGGCAGAGGTCATTTAACAAACTGAAGCAAACAGCAAGCCCCGTTGATTTGCTTAATGAGTGTGATAAAAAAAATGTCATAAAAATTAGTGTAATTCATTTTATAAAGTTTTTGACTTACGACCTTAATCGGCAGGCCCCATTAAGGTTGTACTTCAAGGACTAACTGTACAGTCTATCTCCTGTTGTTGGACTAAAAACAGCCCTTCTTGCGCTTGTATTTTCTTGTTTTGTTTTTAAGATCCACAGCAAGAAACTGATTTATATAGGTAGTTTTCAACAGCCATTCAATTAGTGACTATTCAATTAGTGACTATTATATTCAATGTTATAATGAAGGTGAAAACGTGACTTATAACCAGTTCTCATATTTAGGACTATTGCAGTGTCCCCATGGTAACATGATCAAAATTTGGGCTTTTGGCAACTGGCCTGTACATTTATGATGGTTACAGTGTCCTTGGGGCAAGTAATTGACATTTATGATTTTTCGATCTGACTTCTAACAAGTGAAGTCAATTGGAGAAGCCAAATTTGTTTAACCACCATATGATTCATTTAGTGATTCGCTTACCAAAAGCAACCAAAAGGTAATAAAATTGGGCACGTGTCATTTAATGTCTGCCTCACTTAGCGACAAACTGCTTGTAAGTCAAGGCCTGGGGGTACTTTATTGCTTAAATTAACTGTTGCATTATCACAGAGCCTAAAGCAATAGTCAAAAGCAGCAGAATGGCTGTGTCCCTACAGTGGAAGGTGGGATATCAATAGCCCTCTGGAATCTGCCATCTTTCCACTACATTCCACTACATGCATGACAGAGCTCCCTGTCCTGTTTTCTTGGCAATTACAATGTAAGTACATCCAGTTTGGTGGAGTGGCTAAGGCATGAGGCTAGGAAATAAGATGCCACGAGTTCTAGTTCAGCCTTAAGCATGAAGCCAGCTGGGTGATCTTGAGCCAGTCACTCTGTTCGCTGTAGGAAAGAGGCAATGGAAAACCACACCCAAAATCTTATTAAGAAAAGTACAAGAACTAGTCCAGGCAATCACTAGGAGTCAATACTGACTTAAAGGCATGTACATGTATATTCACACACACACACGTAAGAAATGAATCAATTCTAGTATGTCACCTGGCTAGAAGATTCACTCCCTGCTACCCTTGGGAGATAGCTCAATATCACAAGATACGCAAAATTTCAAAACTTTTGTAAAAGATAAAAGTCCTTTTAAAGTTAAACTTGTTAAACTTTAAATTTAACCAGTGGTGACAACATCACTGGTGAAAGGTAAATAATACAGAATTGCTCAAAAAATGGCAGCGAAGTTAAAAAAGAAAGATAAAATAAAAATATACAGTTCTCAATTTAGAATATAAGAGTACAGAGAGAGTCTAAGAAAAAATATGTTTCCAAGTTTTCTAAAAATAAAATCATGAACATGAAATATGCAATATTGGTTGAAAGCACATACTATTAGTCCCTGTTGCAAAAGAAAATAGAAATTTTCTATTACCAACACAGAGAAAAATGAAAGAAAAAAAATGGAAATATTAGCTAGATTAGTTTTCCAAACAGCATTTTTTTTGAAGCTGAATTTTGTATGCTTCATTTACATGGACTTTCTCCAGGTTTTGAAGAAATTCCATTTTAATCAGCTGCTGGGGAGAACAATGAACCAAACTCTTCCATAGACTCAATCCATAGACTTCTGCCCTTTGTTTTTAAAAAAACTAAAACTTTTATTTTTCCTATCTCCAACACAGGGAGGAGTTGGGCAATTGACTTTGCAAATGACCAAGAGTGACACCCCACTTAAGGATGTGGATTTACTCTGCAGACAAGTGGATGTTTTATTGGGAATGTCTGTTGGCAAAGAAATTATATTCACAACTTGCTAAGAAGATTCCAGAAAGAATGTTTGCTGACGAAAATGCTGTATAAGTCGTAATTATTTTTGTTCATTTAATTTCAGGAAGAAATACATAGCTTTCATTAAATCAGGTAAGACCTAGGAAAATACTGCCCCTACTCTCCAATGGCATTTTTCTCATAACCCAGTGACAATCAAATAGTCATGTTACAAGTTTGATTATGGGTGCAACTAAAGGTAAAAAATTGGGGATAAGCAGTATGAGTAGACTTTCTGTAATTTTCTTCCCCTCAGGAAACTTTTCCTGTTTTCACTGAGCCTTATTGTTAAAAGTATATATCGTAATTTAACCATGTTCATGATGTCTTATGTTCATAAACAGGCAATGAAAAACATAATTATACTTAGTCGCAATTGACACATTTATTTTCTGTAAATTTATTTATTAGATTTTTATCCTGCCTCTATTACTTTATAAATACCTTAAGGTGATGAAGATACATAATACTCCTTCCTCGTCCTATTTTCCTCACAATAACAAACTTTGAGTGTTGTTGGGCTGAGAGAAAATGACTAGCCAAAAGTCACCCAGCCAACTTTCATGCCTAAGTGGGCAGACCTCACACTCTCCCAGTTTCTAGATCAGTATTTTAATCACTACATTAAGCTAATATTTTTAAAGAGCAGAACAGATGTAATGATAGAAAGATGTCTTGACCCAGGAGATTCTGCTAAATGCAGTCATTGCAATGTGAAGAGCTGGACTGTCAATAGAGCTCCTGGGCAAACCATTTTAATACATCCCCATCTCAACATTGGTTATCAGTTAAGAGGTTAAGACAGTGGTGGGATTCAGCTGGTTCAGGTAAATGGTAGTTAAATTTCTGGCTGGCCCCTTCCCTTCCCTTCCAGGAATGCCCCATTTTGGCTCCCAGATAAGTGCAGGGAGGCCTCCTAGGCCCAAAATGGGTTACCGGGGGGCACTTCCAGGAGGCTTCAGGGAGGTTTCCTAGGTCCGTTTTTGCTTCCCAGGAGGCCTCCTAGGCTCGTTTTTGCTCCTGGGGTGTGTTGTGCAGGGAGACCTATTAGGCCCAAAATGGGGTGGGGGGGGCACGTGTCCCGCCCGTGGCCCATTTTTGTTCCCAGGGGGGTGCAGGAGGCCGAGTGCTGCCTGTCACACAACCTGACCATGCCCACCCAGTCGATCATTAGAGCAGAGAACCAGTTGTTAAATTATTTGAATCCCACCACTGGGTTAAGGAGCTAGCGGCTACATTTGAGGGACCCAATATTCTGGGGCTCAGGGTTTGCATGTACAGGCTCTTCTCTGAAACAAATGATTTCAGCAGTGACTTGGGGTAGCCTCTCAGGAACAAAGCAGTGCTTACGAGTTATGACATTGGGCATTTTGATCCTATGGATGTCAAAATTCCATAGGATCAGAAGATGGCAGCAAATAATTACATTTTGCTGCCATCTAGTGGTAGCTATGATAAGTAAGCATGCCCTCAGCCAGATCCTGCCCCTTATCAGTACAATGCACAGTGATCTCCCAGTACATCTTATAAAGTTAAGAGCAATTGTTTCCTCTCTTTCCTGGATTTCCTGCATTTTCTCTTCAGTGAGGGGGTCTTGCACCTCTATAGTGAGAGGTAAACTGAACACCCATCATCATTCCATGAGTCAACCTTCTCTCCTTATTTCATGGCTATTAATATCAATAGTCCTATGGAAAGAATCCTTGAAATCTGTATTACTTTTTCAAACAAATATTTATTTACTTTTCTTTACAACAGCCACTTTGGGAGAATTGGTGGATTATAAGTAATTACAATAAGTAAATATTCCCCTGATGCAATTCATAAAGCTATAAAATGGAAGAGGCTCATTGAGTTCTTACTGGCCTCTTCTGAATGATTCTTGCTAGTGAAGCAACTTATCATGATTGTCAACATAAGCAGTGAAGTTTATTTTGTGGTATAGTGAGCAATATAAAAATGCAATGTGGGTGGAGAAAGACATTTCACTTTTCATGGTAACTGTATATGAACAAGCTGGCTCTATTGAAAACCTTGAGATTCAGATAATCTGAATAGAGCAAAACAATGTGGTGTTCCACATTGAAATTTCCACTGGGGGGAAGAGGAGTTTGAGCAGGATAATTTCTTTAGCTTCTCTTCCATGAAAATGGTCAGCTCTGCATTGACAACCAGCACCTACCTAAGGGAGCAGATTTTTGCTGTCCTGGAAGGAAGCAAACTAATCATTACTCAATTTGTTGTTGCCATGCTTTAGATATGGTTTGTTTGTTTGTTTTGGCTTGTGGATTTTTTCTGCCTATTTGCCCCAACAATTTGGTTACTGTTTTCCTACCATATACCTTAACCTGATCTGATTTTCAAGTATATCCTCCTCTGCCAAGTTGCTGCTATTGATTGCTTGTCTCTTCCTTTAGACTCAAACCGTGTTTCCAGACAGAAAGGGTAAATCACCAGGTAGTGATTTTTTCACTATTATTTACAGATGAGGAAGGAGGCAGTCGAAAACCATATAATTGTCATCAAAACATATGGCTTCACCAATTATCAAATTATTTCAATAAATGAAAAGAACAACGGCTATGGTTAATTACCACTTAGTGTGGAAGAAAATAATAATAATGCTTTGGAATATTTAATCTTAAACATGCTTCACTGAAAATAAAGCTCATAAAACCCAACACATTTGACATTTCCCTTGCTGCTAAACAATTTTAAATGTTTTAATTGGTTTGTATTTTTAATTTTGGGCCAAATTTATATATATTTTAATTGTTTCTTAATATTTGTATTTTATGTTTTTTAATTCTGGCTGTACACCGCCCTGAGTCCTCAGGGAGAAGGGCAGTATATAAATTTAAAATAAATAAATAAATAAATAACCCTAACTTTTCTCCTTTCCTCTTTTGAATTGAGGGAGCAAAGCATCTTGCAAAGCATTATGATGGAGCAAATTAGAGGCAGAATGAATCAGTGCCTCTCCAGATGTTGTCAAACTATAACTCCTAGTATGCAACAAGTTAGTTGAAGGTATGTATAAAAATAATACAAGGGATCTGTTGGTTTCAGTTTAAGGAGATATTAAACTCTGCCGTTTGTAAACACTGTTGACAGCTATGTTATGCAAACTCAGCCAGCATTGGTGATTCAATAAACCATGGTTAAGCTGACCATAACATAAAATGAATGTGAACATATTTCATGTTATTATATGCATCATATATATAAAAAGGGATGGAAGCAATGAGATTTAGTTACGCAGCACATACAGCAGAATATATTCTGGAAGGTACCTAAGGTAGCTTTCTTGCAGAAGCATGTGGCTTGCAAATTGCTCTGTAATCCTTAATAATACTCTTGAGTACACAGCTTTTAAAATAAATGTTGCTTTTATAAACTTGCTTCTCTTTCTTTCCTTGGCATCTGCAAAGTAGTAGCTGTCTCCAGCTTGCACCATTCATGCCTTCATTCATTCATCACCTGTCCTTCCATTATGGCATACTTTTTCCTTGTCTTCATTTGTTGCTGTGGCAGCAGCGGTAGTTGTTGTGCTTTCATTATTTCTTGCCACTTGTCATACTAGATAGATCACCCTTTTCTTCAACTACCATGTTTTTTGGCCAATTATCCTGCTCTGGATGGAAAGAAAACTTTCCAATAAAAGCCTTCAGACTACTTCCAGTCATCTTCTGCTTCTCCTTTGTGGAAAGCAAATTGCCCAGATAAGTCCGAAGATTAATTTCTCTTTCTGTGGTGGAAAGCAGATTTGAATAAATCAGGGAGGCTTTTGACAAGTACAGTATGGTATGCATGAGTGAGCAAGCACATGCTCGTTGTGTTCCTTGGCCCTGTGGACAGTGACTGAGTTAGTGGTATCTTAAAAAAAAAAAAGGAAATAATTTCACATACCATTAGGGCTGTTGGGAAGCAGCAGGATCAAATTTTAATGAATGCAGGATCAAACATATCTTCAAGGCAACTAGCCACTGAAAACAAGAGACAGGCTCACCAGGGAACTGAGGATAAAGATGCTTCTAACAAGAAACAAGAAACAGACTCTGAGGCATAAGAGTTGATTCCTCAGAATTACACATTTTAAAGTCTAATTTTCATTTCTCTCAAAAAATAATCTTCAATGTCCACAACCCATAGGTGTACCTAAAGTTTTCATCTGAACCACAGCCAATTAAAATCCCCCGATTATATTAAGCTTGATAAAAATAAAGAACCCAAATTGCTCACCGGTCAATTTAACAAAGCCAGTTTCATCACTTGCCATGCCTGCAGGCAATACGTTCTAGACATTTTAATCTTAGCATCTGCAATGCAAAATTCCACAGCTGGAAATGCTGACCTTGATGGTTTAATAAGATGTTTGCTCCTGTGCTCACCTCCCTTTTCATCAGTGCCTGTGGCTTGGGCTCAGCAGGATTAATTCAAGTGTGTAGGGAAGGAGGGGTTCAAAGCACCCATGCTTTAAATAAACAGTAACTCAATCAATCCTGCCATCCACTCAGCATAGACTACTTCAACATACAGATTGAAAGAATGGCTATACCTATGCTAAATTGCATTGTTAATGGGTTTAGTCCATAAACTAAATCTATATCTTCCTCAAGATTGTGTTGATACAGAATGCCCTGACCATAATCAGTAGATATGACATGACTTAATCAATCAAACATGGGTCTATACCTTGTCTGATGCAGAATGCTAGCTAGTTATGGTTAAGCAAATAGCCTGTTTAGAAAACAAGTATGCTTGTATTTCTACTCTCCCCCCGTTTTTTTTCCTCTTTTGAAAAAAAATTCTCAGAAGGTGTCTGGTATATTAGTTGGAGAGGATGGAACAAGAAAATTATATCAGCTAAAGTTAATACATATCAGTGCACCAACAGAACTGATATGCTTCTTACTCTTAATACTAAATTATATTCAGCAAATTTGCAAACATGCCCAACTGCGATTTGAACCTGAATTCAAGACCAGTGTTTGGTCCTGGCTTTGTGCAATGTGTAAATCCAGTTACTGATTCTTTAATGTGAATTTCTATCTCTCGAATGAAAACAATGGTTTTCTGAATGAATCAATTGCAATTTTTTTGCTATTTTCTTGCTTTAATATTGATAGAGCTAGTTGTGAAAATGGATTTTATAGTAGATAAATATTGGTTGCCTTCACACATGATAAGTCAAGCCAATAACTGATAATATGCTTTGGCCACGTGTTTCTTAAACATTGTTGTAGTGGGTAAAAAAAGAATACAATGTCACACTAATGCAAAATTAATCTCAGATCATGTTATGTAATTACATTATTAAAATTAAAAGTTATTTTACTTAACAAAAGAGAAAAAAAGGAAAGTTGAGCATGTCTAAATTTCTAATCAGCTTTTTAAATGAAACGCTTACTGCTAAATGCTTGTTGAAATACAGAAAGCAACCTCTAGAAAATATTATAATTGATAAAAAATGGGAATCCTTCCAGATTCATTTCAATCTATGTTTAATTAAAAAAGTGCGCAATTTCTATTTCCCATATCTTCTTGTTATTTTCGGAGCCACTGACATAAATTTCAAGTGAACTCTAAAAAAATATTTTTTTTCAAATCATGCCCATATCCCTGTAATTACAGGGATAAAGCAATAATTGTCTTCTCCCAAACTATCTTTTAACCTTTCCATTCTATTTTTCTCTAGTAGATTCTCTTTCAAATCCTAACCAGATCTGACTCTGCTTAGCCTTTGGGGATCAAAGCCACATTTATGACCTAAGACAGCAACATCTATAAAAACATATTAGATGAATTCAGTCCAATATTCCCTAAATTTTGTTGGCTGGTAGGCACGTTTGGAATTTTGAAAATATGTGTGGGCTATCTTATGCAAAATAATTCCTCCGAGATATATGTGTATGTGTGTGTGTACTTCCACACAAATATATTAATTACAATATTTGTAGATTGACTAATCAATGTCAATGTAAAATGTCTGGGTTAGTGAAACAAAACTAAAATAGAAAATAATTGCAATATTAAAAATAACAATATATTTGGGCTAAAGCCTAAAGGGATGTTGGAAGGGACGTTGGCTTACCGTGATACATTCCTTCTCGTAGTGTAAAATGGGAGGTGCCAGGCTGGGTTATTCTATGCTCTAGCTCTATGGACTGAGTTGAAACTTCTGAAGGTCTGCCTCCCTGGTGACGTTCCTTCAGTTTTGACAATGTAGGTGAAGCAAATTGAAAGCCATCTGAAAAACAGAAAAAAACACTTCCTACCCAACGGGAGTCAGCCAGACAGGCAAAGCCAGGGTGGGGCTGGCACCTCCCATTTTACACTATGAGAAGGAATGTATCACGGTAAGCCAACGTCCCTTCTCCATATTGTAGAAATGGGAGGTGCCAGGCTGGGATATACCAAAGATTGTCCAGCATTATGGGCGGGAACTGTCCTGGGCCGACAACCCTAGATCCTTGCAGACCTTCTGCAACACTTCTCCCAAACGCCGCCTCCGCAGAGGCGAAAGAGTCAAGTTTGTAGTGACGTATAAAGGAGGAAGGAAACGTCCACATAGCCGCCCTACAAATCTCTTCCACGGAGGCCTGAGTCGCCCAGGCCGCCGTCGTGGCTGCACTGCGGGTAGACTGCGCAGTTATCCCTTGAGGCACCAGGAGAGCTTGAAGCTCGTAAGCTCATGCTATGCATGTCCTAAGCCAACACCCCACGTGGAAGGGGTCACTCTGTGACCAAGAGTTGACAGCTGAAAGGAGACAAACAGGGACTCCATTTTCCGGAATGAAGAGGTCCATGAAATATAAATACGGAGGGCCCTCCTAACATCCAATGTATGCCAGGTCTGTTCCAAGGCGTGCCGAGGCCTTGGGCAGAAGTCCAGCAGGACCAACTCCTGTGCTCGGTGAAACAAGGAATTGACCTTTGGAAGAAAGGTAGGGTCCAGCCGCAGGACCACCCTGTTAGAGAGAAATATACACAAGTCTTTCCTCACCGATAATGCCGCCGACTCTGAAATCCGTCGGGCAGACGTGATGGCCACAAGGAAAGCAACCTTACACGACAGGAGACGAAGACTAGTCTCCCTCAATGGTTCAAAAGGTGCCTTGGTCAATACCTGTAAAACCTTGGATAGGTCCCAAGTGGGATAATGATGAAGCGTAGGAGGCTTTAAGTTAGACACTCCACGCATAAATGTCCTCACCCTCAGATGGTTAGCGAGGGAGCCCCCATCCCCAAAGGTCAACACTGAGCCCAGTGCAGCCACCTGTTGTCTCAGAGTATTAGGGGAAAGTCCCATGTCCAGGCCCTCTTGTAAAAACTCCTGCACCTCCACTACAGATGCTGAAGTAGGGTCCAATTGTCCCGTGTCACACCAACCGGCAAACTTGCTTCATGTGGCCTTGTAGATGCGCGTGGTTGAAGGCCGCCTGGCCGCCTGCATTGTCTGGATGACCTTGGTAGAGAAGTTCTCCCATCTCAAGAGCCTCCGCTCAATCGCCAAATGGCCAACTGCAGTCTTTGCGGGTTGGGATGCTGCACGGACCCCTGACTGAGGGAGACCTTGTTCAAGGGAATCCTCCAGGGCCTGGTGACCGATAGGCCGCCCAGGTCGGCGAACCACAGCCTCCTGGGCCAGTGAGGGGCCACTAACACAATCTCTGCCCCCTCCAACAACACCTTCCTGATAACAGCTGGGATTAGGGAAAGGGGAGGGAACGCATAAAAGAGTCCCTTGGGCCACGGGGTCCTCAGAGTGTCCACCCCCTCTGCTCCTGGGGCAGGGAAACGGGACAGGAAACAGGGAAGATGGCTGTTCATTGGAGAGGCAAAGAGGTCCATCACCAGGCGACTGAACCGGTCAACTATGTCCGCAAACAGGCAGGGATGAAGCCTCCACTCTGATGGATCCACAGTGGCCCGACTCAGACAGTTGGCCTGGACATTGGCCACCCCGGCGATGTGATCCACTGTCAGGGACAAAAGGTGAGCCTCTCCCCATTGGCAAAGGGTCTCCG